AAGAACAATAACAAGAACAAGACAAGAACAAGAACAAGAACAAGAACAAGAACAAGAACAAGAACAAGAACAAGAACAAGAACAAGAACAAGAACAAGAACAAGAACAAGAACAAGAACAAGAACAAGAACAAGAACAAGAACAAGAACAAGAACAAGAACAAGAACAAGAACAAGAACAAGAACAAGAACAAGAACAAGAACAAGAACAAGAACAAGAACAAGAACAAGAACAAGAACAAGAACAAGAACAAGAAACAAGAACAAGAACAAGAACAAGAACAAGAACAAGAACAAGAACAAGAACCAAGAACAAGAACCAAGAACAGAACAAGAACAAGACAAGAACAAGAACAAGAACAAGAACAAGACCAGACAAGAACAAGAACAAGAACAAGAACAAGAACAAGAACAAGAAACAAGAACAAGAACAAGAACAAGAACAAGAACAAGAAACAAGACAAGAACAAGAACAAGAACAAGCACACACAGAACAAGGAACAAGGACAAGAAACAAGTAACAAGAACGCAAGAACAAGTAGTAACAAGAACAAGAACAAGACAAGAACCAAGAACAAGACCAAGAACAAGAACAAGAACAAGAAACAAGGAACACAGAACAAGACAAGAACATACAGAACAAGAACAAGAACAGAAAGAATACAAGAACCTAAGAACAGAACTAAGACAAGAACAAGAACAAGAACAGAACAGACAGAACGAAGAAAGAAGAGAAGAAGACGAAGAAGAAGGAAAGAAGAAGAAGAAGAAGAGAGAGAAGAGAGAGGAAGAGAGAGAGAGAGAGAGAGAGAGAGAGAGAGAGGAGAGAGAGAGAGAGAGAGAGAGAGAGAGAGAGAGAGAGAGAGAGAGAGAGAGAGAGAGAGAGAGAGAGAAATGTAAACTGGATATTAAGTTTCTAGAAACATGCAGGAGCTTTAATGTTTTCCAAAAGTTCTTACTCTTCAAGCTTTACCGGAAGTCATTCCAACAATCAAAACTATGCGGAACCTGGCCAAACGAGCTAATGGAACAAGAGATACGTTTCAAAAAGAGAAGACGACACGATTGGAGGTCGCGATTGGTCTCTATGAATTGGAGACGTCACGAAAAATTCGTCGAAAACACGTTTATTCCCAGTAAATGAGGACAGAATTACACAGAAACAAAGCAGCCAAAGCCATATGTAGTCGTTTTCAGTCGCCCATCGCTGGACGTTGACGTTTCGCGGCGATATTTGAGCGCACCAATTCATCTCAGGTTTAGTACAACAGCTTTTGTTTCTCCGTTCTCGTTCGAATTTTCCGCGCCGAGTCACCGCTGTTGTTTCGGCCGCGGAGCATCGCTGCAGGTGTCGACGTGAGCTGACGCCGCGGGCACATTTCTGGCGCAGCGCAGTCACGACAGATCGTAGCTCACCGCGGCTCGGTGTCAGCGCTTTGCGTCACGGCGCTGCGCAGCTCAGACGACGGCGCCACACGGAATGGGATATCACGGAACGGAATGCAACGGAACGGAACGGAACGGAATGTTACGGACCGGAATGGAACCGAAAAGAAAAAGAAAGGCATGGAGCAGCGCACTTAGCCAAGGATAAGCTAAGCCAGCGGAAAAGTACCATTGTCATTTGCAAAGTTATTGCTCATTTGTCAGATCAAAGTGTGCTCCACCGCCACCCACGCAGCTGATCTGTCTGACAGCCCTTTAACCGCTAACAGTATTGACACCAAAGTGTCACTAGCTTCTCTCCACCATAAATCAATTCTGATAGCATGCCTTTCCAAAAAAGTATGCTTTTTGGGCTGTTTTATGTTGTTTCTCACAAGCATTGCTTAAAAATACGTTTCATTTTCATGCACCGTTGTCAAAATTATCATAGATATGCATTGAACACGTAGCATGGTTCTAAAGTTTGGTGCGTCTGCGACCATTTTGGGGATCTAGCGGGAAGAAACATGTGTAAATGCGTCTTAAACGCCCTCTGAAATGTCACGGGTAAACGTCATTGAGAGAGTCACGAGTGAAGAACCGGTTGATTTGAATGAGCATCTATTCAGTGGCCAATGCAATAGGACGGAACGGTGCACACTGCGGGGTAAATACAATGCCAGTGTCACCAAGTGACTGCTGGGACGGTCGGAAATGATTGTTATGGTTATCGGTTGGGTGGGGATGGGCCGATCCACTTTCTCTGGTTACTACCAAACCTTGGCGGAGTCCGGCTAGAGAGGACGCTAAGAGCCAACGGCCAGCGTGCCTCTGCGCGCCGGCGAGGCCGAAACAGGGGGAGGGGAGGGTCGAAATATATGGCGCTTGACCGCGACGTTAATAACCAGACAAGCTAAACGCCCTAATAAATAACCTAAATATAGCAGCATATTTCAATGACCTCGAAATCTATTAACTGGGCATCATGAGCCACCTGCGTTCGAATGAGGAATTAATCCTCTTCACATTTCGTTCACATTCGGCTCAAGTACGACACGTTTTGCCCAAAATTGTAAAAACTGTACGAAAATGTTTAAAACCTTTTGAGGATTTACCATTGGTTTGAAAAATTCCTGATCATTCTTGCAAAGGGTTTACTTACGATCACTTGAATGCGCAACATTAGTCAGTTGCCCCACTGATAATTTTGCGGTCTTTGAGCGTTGTTTGCGTAAAATGCCGCCATAGAACTCATTAGTTCAATCATTTATAGAAAAGTTTCTGTAGTTAATAGATAATGGGTAAGTGTCCATGAAAACGGTAATTGAAATGAGTGAAATCCATGACCTTGAACGCACAACTCGCTACGTCTTGCGGGCCGGCAGGCATCGGTACACTGGCAGCATAGGCTGTCCCGCAACGCTCGGAGGCGATGCGGCACAGCATTCCACACAAACTTCAACGCCACACAAGTCTATATCGGGGTTCTTAAGCTTTACTAAGCCTGGGATTTAAACAGCATCAAGCTTAGCAATACACAACATCTTACCAACAATGCCTGTCCCGTAGCTCAGTTGGTAGAGCATCGGACTCCCGGTAGTGAGAGCCCGGGTTCGAGACGCTCCGGCGCTCGATATATGAGACTCCTGACGGGGATGGTCTACGGTTGGTGGGAGCAGCCGCAGCCAGTTGAAGTCAGTTGAGTGGGACAGGCCGTGTCCGGCTTTGAAGGGCACGTTAAACTTTGGCATCTAAATTCTCCCGTTACCCGGAATTGCGCGATCGGACGGTAGGGGTCGGGGTCTACGCAACAAGCTCTGCTTAGCGTGTACTCCGGCTCTGTCAATCCGTCCATTCAAACATTCGAGCTAAATTTATAAAAAAAAAATACCCAGCATAAGACATCGCACCAAACCTTGCTGGTCACTCACTTATCATCTATATGCTAAAAGGATCCTAGCACCAGTCGTGTAAGTGAATGACAAACTCAACAGATGGCAAGTCTAATGCTCACTGATCCTATCGTTGAAGGAATTTGTAATGAATCATCGATCGGTGAGTAAAGCGTTTAGTCCAGACCATTACTGACAATTACCCCCGTTACATAAGCAAGGTAAATGTGCATTACAAATGGGGGTACGGTCTTTGCTCGATAAGTAGTGGTCATGCTCTTTCCCAATGTCCATCGGTCTGGAAGTCTGAGAAACCATTTAGAAACGGGTTATGTGAAACTGCGGTCTATGGATGTTAAGCACTTGGTACGCATAGTATTTTCCATTCAAAGCGCGTTACCGAAAATACTTTTTATTTTTGAAATCATTTACCTAGCCACGGCACATGTCTGACGAAACCCACAGTCCTGAATCGTGAAGACAAAGACTACATATAGTTCTAGCTTGTGCCATTAAATTTGTTTCAGTTTGATGCTTCAAAACGTTTTCCAGAAAGATACATCTAATCACCTTATTTGCGATCAAGCCTGGTGGTTCGTCTGGGAAGACCACGACTTAAGCCTCGAGGCTGAACTTCATCAGAAATGGCACAACCCAGGTCAGGAAAATTGCCTACCAGTGCCACTCGCACGGGAGTACTTCGGCGAGATCGAGCCCCAAAGGCCGAGTTCTCTGGGAGCTTCCGGCAGAGGTCACAAGATTGATGTCCAGGAAGACTGTTACATCAGGGAAACGCCGTGGTCTCCTTCGGGCCAGACAGCGCACTTCGTAGGCTCGCATGTCCGCCAGATAGCGCACTTAGAGGGCTCTCCACCTGCTATCGTTCTACTCATGGCATACATGTAATTGCCTTGTTTTGCATAATTACATTAACCGCTGTTTTTCATGAGCCAGCTTAGTACGATATAAATCGATCAAAACTTTTGCATCAATACGCAGCAACAATCTAACAGGCGAGCTTGGACAATGCATGCCCTGAAATTCAAAACTTTAACCAATACCTACTATGTTATGACCAAATGGCTCGTCACCTCCCAAATATGACTACATATAATATATTGAAATATTTTTTTTTTTGAAAAATAAGCGTATGTATGGCATGCACTTCTTATGTTTATGAGATTATCGTGTTTTATTAAATCTGATTGCCGTTCGCAGTTCAGAATATGTGCGGAACGTCCGGCGATGATGGAAGAAGAACAAAAATCTCTTTTTGTGATATACTACCACGAGAAGTGGTTCGAATGTTTACGGCAAGATTATCATCGCCCTATAATGACATGAAGTGAAGTAAAAACGATACGCTTTATTTCGCATACGGTATCGTTGTACCTAACTCATTTCAAAGTTGCAAGTGGTTCCGTGTTTGGCTGACTGCTACATCAATCTTTCCGAAATATTGTTGACATCGTGCTGCTCAGATGACTTTGCTGCGTTTAATACGCTGCAAATATGCCTTTTCGACTATGCTCAGCTCATCTAGGAACCCTTGAGGTCTTCAATAGCGCCGTTTGAGCCTCGGACTCGATTTTGTGTGGTGAGGACGGCTGCGGGGCCGGCGCCGGCCGCCCGCCCGGCTGTCGCGTCCGGTAACAAGTGTGTAAGTGGCGACCACCACTATCGACTGGCTGTGGGGCGCGCGCGCGCGCCGCCGCCGCCGCGTGGGTGGCGGGCCGGCCCTCTCTGGTGGAGGTCGGCGGCGGCGGCGCCCGTCGGCTCGCCAGTTCTCGCCCCGGCCATGCGTCAGAGCGCAGCGTCCGGCCGGCGCTAGTGACCGCCCGCGAGCGCCGCCCGTCCCGCCGCCGGCCGTTCCGCAGACCATGCTGTCGCGCCGGGCGCTGGCCGCCGCTGGCCTGTGTCTGCTGCTCTGCTGGCTGGCGGCTGTGGCCGCCCAGCAGCCGCGGCGCCGGACGTCGCTGCTCCAGCTGCTCACGGCCGGCCGGCATAGCTCAGAGAAGCGCTCGTTCGAGAGGCGGTTGGCGGCGCCCGCTCACCAGACGTGGCGACAGCGGCCGCCGCCGGCTGCCGGCGCCGTGCCCGCCAGCCAGCAGGCCTTTGTGCGCACCAGTCGAGCCAGCAGCCGGCCGCAGGAGTATGACGTCCCCATCATTGGTGAGTATTTCAACCGCGGGCCAGCCCTCCCCCTGTCCTCGCTCCTGATGTATCTTGCCACATGGCCACGCTCCGAGTGCGTGCATTCTAGCCGTCGTTCAGTCGATAACATTCTGCTCACTCAAACTAGAATCTGCTCGGCAGCTGGCCATCGCTCTCGTGATGGCTGTCGAAAATAGCCGGCGCCGACGGCCTCGCGTTAAAATTTTATTAGTAGTCCGAACCGTATCCTGATCGACTGATTTATTTCCAGCGTGGAAGCGCACTGACAAGGCGGCCACAGTTCGTCTTAGAGATAACATATTTCATCATGAAACTATACGCATGCCATTTATTTTTTGCCTTGACTTGGATGAACGAAGCATAAAAAAATCGATCAATAAGTGTATCTAACGTCAGTGGGAATTTTTAAGTATTACAAGACACACATAGCACCGTGCAAACGATGAAAAAATATGCCATGAGCTGCGACAAATAATGATAAAAACCACTGGCTTAATAATGCCGTGGCATCGGTGACTAATGGTTTTCAAGGTTATTAAAATGGGTGTAAAAGAACATTTAAAGAACGGATGACTTCATTCACTTAAATGAAAAATGTTATGAAAAGCTCATGCCTGAATTGTGGTCACGTCATTGCGCATTATGTACGCCTCAAACCGTAAACAGAAACCGGATCATTCTCCAAATAGAACACGAGATCGTTTGTAGACGTCATCAGTCATAGAGTCGCAGTCAGTGGAGATGTTTTTGTTTATGGGTGCAGACTTAAAGACTATAAAATAAATTATCAAAGATGAAGCCAAATATGACAGCCAAATAGTAAAATGTGGCAGCCCTTGGCCGAAGCACTTGCAGTCGGTAGCGAGTGGCTAAAGTTGACTTTCAACACTAGGGTCTTACTTCTTAGTACCACTAGACTAACTATGAAATACTCATTTTATATAAGGCACTAATTTGGTCCGATGAAATTACTCCTCCTCGCCCGAAAATGGTGAATTACGTAATCGTGTGTATCCTATTGTCACAATTTTATGATGATGAGATGTTTACGCTGCACCGGCTCACGATCATTCAATGTTTAAAACCTCTATTACTAAGTATAGGTCTGGTAATAACCGCCAGGCCTTGACCGCGCATATGTTCCCTTGACATTAAATAGAATTGGTACGGGCGCTGTTGTTTCAGAATAATTGATACTTTCTGGCCGACTCGTTTGCCTGGCAGTGCGTACACTGCTGGTCAGCGCTGAAATATGTACTTTTCGCACCGACGTAACTCAGAATAGGACATAGGTTTGTCACGCGATGCCAATTTGGGCGGCGATGTGTGTGGGAGGCTGTGTGAGACAGATAGGTAGGCATAATTCAGCTCACAAACTTCCTACCGAGTGTCCGAACAAGGCCATTAAAGTTGGCTGTTGGGTTTACAGTGTCGCGCCGAGCCCCTTTTGGACAGGGTTATGGGTCATTTTCGGCCGAAGCACGCTATATGACAGGCATCACCTGGAATCTAGTGGATGACCGTCGATTGGAGTGGCGCCCTCAGGTGGCAGCTGTTGCTCTTTCGAACACATTGGTTTCATATTTATTTTAGCAAAATAAATAAATAATATGACTAATTATGTCGAGTCTGATTGCCAAAATGGAACAAAATGTTGCCTATTCTTTGAACGACTAGCCTGAACTAGCCATACCTTAATATTGTTTATTCTGCCAATGAGCATAGGTACTCATCTTGCTTCCGTGTAGCGTAAAATTCAACCGACTCAAAGACGCATCAAGGCTGGTGGAAATGTCAAATCATGATGACTGAGCAACCAGCCTTACGGTTGTCACAACAGATGAATGAATCAATAAATAATTGCATTGGGAATATCATCGACACCAAACTTGCAGTCTACGCGAGCACAATTCCTATTTTCCTGCTCCCGAAAGTGGGGCAAGTTTCCTGATGCTTCGTATAATTGCAAAGCACAACGCCCAATGTCTGACGCCGGAACAGATACTAGGGCACTGGACAAACGGTCTAAAGTCTCAACATTAAACATATTTTTAAAAGAGTGTCCGCTGAGAATGTAGCGGTCGGGCCGGTTTAAAAAAAAATTTATCCGTCGACCAGCGGCGTCAGTCAGAGCTGATCTGAAACCGTCCAAAGGTCAGGTACCGGTGGTGACAGGTGGCCGTTCGCCGGGAAAGAGCGCAAAATACGGACCTGTCCTCACCACCTGAAGTGGGCTCGCAGTGCCGATTCATGAAGCCGCTGTCGACGATATTTTCCAACCCGGCTGGCCTCGGTAGGGCAACAACTAGTGTCGTAATAACCTGCTCAAAGTGTATGTACTCTATTGTTTATGCTTAGCACACCTAATACATGCTGTTGTTGAAAAGGTTAAAAGACTTTGCTTTATCAAATCAAATTAATTACCACAGTTATTATAAAAGATACTTTGAAAATACATGCCATAAAAAGATGAAATGAGGCTTACTAACATCAATTCACAAACAGCTTTGGGGGCTGCTGACATCAATATCCTAATACTGCATAAAATGTTGCGTTATTTTATGTGTTTAATGAACACAAAGTAAATGAATGATGTATACTCTGCCTGCATACAGTGCCCCTCGAGCCAATACGTCATAAGCGGCATCTTGGTCGAATGCGCCATAAAACGCGTCGTCGACTAAACGGTCTGGTTTATGGGCTCGTTTGCTGTCACCCATGTGAGTGCGGGTGCAAAGTATACGATCGCATGTAGATACACTGCGTCACGTGGTCCGCGGCCGATTACCCCGCCCGAGGGCCCCCACATTAGTCATCCCACAATGCCGGCTTGCGTGTTCTAATTTGCTGACGCCGGGTAGCAGGTGACGTCAAATGAGGCACCGCTTGCGTCACCGCTGAGAGGCCGGCGCGGCAAAAAGCTCTCCGCTATAGTAAGGCTGCACAACGTTCATAGCTCTGAAACTTTGGCTGTGTCGCTTCAGACCAATTACGTCATCAATTTCACAGGCCGTACGAGACGGGCAGTAACGCCGCTGGCCGAGTCGCCAAACCCGCGCCGGCAAACGGCTTATTGTGTTCAAGAGTCGTATCAACTGACACAGGCTGCTCAATGCTGAAACGAGCGACAAACTCAAATGCATTAAATGGATACCAAGTGGTTTAAGCGTTCATTTTTAGCAGGGCCGAGTTCTCAAGTGTGTAATTTTAGTCATCACTAGCAAATGAATTTCAAAGTTTTGAAAGTTTTACTGTTACACTTGATGAATGCAACTTGATCTAAGTGCCTTGCTACGCCCAGCACGATTCATCGTTTCGAGAAGTTTTTGTAACCTGCGCCTAAAAGTTAGGTTTATAAAGGCAGTCATATTTTCACGTTAAGTTCATTTCCCTGTCCGGCATCCACCTCTAGCTGTGTAGCTAAGGAAACACTGCAACTGCATTTGAGTAACGACGCTTTGGTGGTATTTACAATTTATTTTAATTTCCCGTAACCAACTAAAAACATTTAATCTCCAGATAAATCAGATTCCTAAATAAGTTTAAAATGGCGGATGCCTTCCGGAAGCTGTGAGTCTGGTTTTTTAATATCCATGGCGTTTGCCTGCCCTGCGGAATGTATAGGGGCTGAATGCTATGCGGGTTTTGGGAACTGGGCTCATGCTATATGTGACTACTTAGCCGATTGGAGCCCGCTCAGCGAGCAGCGAAGCGGCGCCTCGGCGGATTTCCCAAACCGTCTGACTGGTTCACAGACCTGTCCATGGGTGTGGGTCGGTTTACGCTCCCCTGAACAGGAAACTTACCGCCCCGCTTCTGACATATTGCGCCTGAATCATCCACAGTTTTCGTATTTCAATATATGATGTTAGAAATGAAAGAAGATACTTATAAATGTTGGACGTCTGTAGGATGGTAAGATGAAGTACGAAAAACATCGTAGCTCTTGTCTTCCGTCTGTTGTTGGTCGCGAAGGCAGTCTGGTGGGGAGGGGAGGTCAGACCAGTATGTCAGACGAAGCACATGACCAAAGCTTTGCACATACCTATGCATACCTGATATCTCGCCCACATCTGCCTTCTGCTCGCGGCGGTCTTATGACGACTGCGCTGATCAAGAAGAGCCGTCGCGGAAACTCCCCCGTGATCGGCCCGACCCTCTGCTGTGTGGGTGATCCCAGAATAGACGCAGAGACTCGTCTAAAAAAGACATTCGTCTCAGCACTGATCGTCCGTGCATCCCCTCCGGCCCTGGGGCCCCGGTCCCTACCCCCGGGCGGTCGGTATAGTCGGATCGGGCAGTCAATCCTGCCACTCAGAGCCCTGCCCACGACAGCTGAAGGTTTTTTGCTCTCCAGGCAATCGTTGATCATACAAAAACCCACGCAGCGTAGATAGAAGGTAGACGTATCTATTGATTGCTTTTACGGGGGGGGGGGAGGGGAGGGAGCAACAAAGGTAGACCTCCCATAGACCGCTGATTTAAAGAATGTAACGAGAAGGAAATGCTAAGGTTGCGAAAAGCATAGAATTTAATTCAGAACCACAATGACATTTGCAACATGGTAGGTCCCAACTCCTTTCACATATTATGTCCGTGCATAATGCATCAGAGGCAATACGAGATGCAGTGCAGGTTATTTGACCCTCGAACTGATAGGGTGGGGTGGGGGTCGTTAAGACATCTCGGTTTTTCGCGAAAACCTGTTGTAAAAAGCACCGAATCGCCACCAAACTTTTAGTACCCTGGGATGAATCAATTCTACAGCTAGCCCCTATAAGTACCATGAACCTGCTTCAACTGACGTTTAAGCTGTGACCTGTTTCTTGAGACCATGTCAGGCTAGCATGGCGATTCGGCGAATCAGCGCATGCCAATACCCGTGCTTTTGCAATACCCGACTTTGGCTGTGAAGAGAAACGTGCCAGCATGTGAATTGCTGTTTGTCCTATGCATTATGTGGTCGGTGTCGAGTGCATGTGAAAGTCAGGCCAAGG